CTCAGCTGGGCAGGAAGCAAAAGGAGGAAACTGTAACTGCTTACAACTCTGGATTTTGGCTTTTGTTTTTATTTTTGTTTTTCTGGTACTCTGGCCTTCTAAAACTCTGCAAGGACCTTCTTATACGATTCTGATCCTGGGGATTAGTGACAGGACATTTATGATATTTGTACTGCCTTTTCTGCACTTTCTTTCAAACAAACCAGAACTGTTATTTCTTAGATCATAAGTAAGTATTTTTCCTGTCTACGTACTTTATTAATGATCAACTAAAGAAGGCAAGGAAATATTCCACTATTTTCTGACTTGGTTTACTGTAACATACCATATTCCAGTATGAGTCTGTGGCTCTTAGTGCCCACACAGAATTCAATAGCCCACTCTAACGCAGGAGGCAATGAACTTCTAGCTATAAAAAGCAATGTTCTCCAGAACACAGGTTCTGAGCAGAAGAGAACATGCATATTTCCTGAGTCCCAGCAGTGACTTCTGATGAGCTACTTACAGCCCTTGCTGAGTTAGGTCAGGTCACCACTGGGACCTAGGTGAAGAGAAACAGAGCCTTCTACACACTGGAAAAGTAATCTTCTGGCCTTTGAAAGAAGTTGTACACTTACAAATCATTCTCAATACATGGCTAGAAGAAAATAAATGGCTTTTTTCCTTATTTACTCTAAAAACTACTTTAAGAAGTGAGGATACTATGATATCAACTAAGAGGTGCTGGAAAGGGAAAATGGAATAGTATTTCCTAGTGTAGTCCACTAATTTTCAGATTAGGAACATGCTAAACTGGCTAACTCTACAACCACAACATACTTTATAATACATGGCATGACTAGAGACTGACCAGTGTAGCTCTGAGCATAGAATTAAAGTATACAACTGCCTATGGTGAGTCTTAAAAGCATGTTTGAAAACCAATTTAACCAAAGCATACAGCACAAAGACTTCTGTAACAGCCACATCACAACCACCAATAAAGAGATTTTTGCTTCTAATTGGTCTGCCATATGCTAATATTTGTAAAGAGCTATTAAATGAATTCAATAAAAAACAAAGACATTTTCTTTTTGTAGACACAGCTAAAAGCCATGGATGCCTTTGAGCAGTTGGTAGAAATCATGCCAATCTGCCAGGCTGTTGCTTGCTTCTAAATATAAGCCTCATGGCTCTATGAAAGATTTTCTAAGGTGCTAACCTAGAATTTAAGTTCTCAAACACATGGAAAGTAACTCTGGCTTCCTCCCAAAGTATGCACCTTTTAGCAGGCCCAAGACAAAGGAAACAAACAATAGGATTCCAAGGATTCCAAAATAGTGGTAGAAGGTTCTTAAAGAGAATGTGATGTTCCACCAAGCGCTGGTGGCTTATGCCTGTAATCCTAGCTACTTGGGAGCCTGGGCAAATAGTTTTTGAGACCCCCATTTCCAAAATAACCAGAGCCAAATGGACTGGAGGTGTGGCTCAAGCAGTACAGTGCTGTTTTACAAAGTGCAAAGCCCTAAGTTCAAACCCCAGTCCCACTAAAAAAAAAAAAAGAGTATGTGATGTTGATGAATTCATTTCTGGAAAGAACAAGACCAGAATCAAGCTCTGCAGAGTGGTGGGTCTAGAATAATCCTGGGCAGGGTTTCTCAACCTCAGCACTAGTGATATTTGGAGCTAGATCATTCTTTGTTGTGAGAGGGGGAGGGGGAGAGGCTGTCTTATACACCCTAGGGTGTTTTAGTAGCATCCCATCCCTGGCCTCTACTTACTAGATGCCTGTAGCACATCCCACACTACCCCCTGTAGTGATGACCAAATATCTCCAGACATTGTCAAATGTGTTCTGGGGGGCAAAATGGCCCCTCATTAAGAAGTGCTGCTGTAGAGACTGCTCACATGAGCCTCTTGGCATGGAGCACTCTCTTTCGGTCTTGGGCTCTGGAGAGGCTAAATTTCAGTTAACACTGAACAAAGCTCAGTTAAAGTTCACTTTGAACATTAGGGAAGAAAAAGGCGGTGGTGAAGAAGTAAAACTAGAAAAACAGCAAAGCTGAGTTTCTTTCAAAAGGAGATTAGAGATAATTTCATAAAATGAAGTAATTCATAAGCCTTCGTTCAACCTTTGTGTCTTTTAGGAAGTTAAGGTGGATGCCATAAACACCCCTGCCTAAAGAAAATGCAATTTTTTGTGACTTTATGTTATGTTCTTCTTATCATGGATGACATCTTTGTAAAGTCAATAATTTACCAACCAGAGGGGAAAAGAACAGTTAAAAGCTAAGTGAGGACTCATTAGATCTGAGAGAAAATGTTACTGCCCTCCTCCGTGAGCAGGAAGAGAAAGAAATGTTAGAAATGAGGATTGTAGATATGCTAGAAATGAAGATTAAAGGTTCACTTACAGCTTATTGAGGATCAAGGAAAAGTCGGAATGGACAAAATGTGAGAAGAGGATAAAGGAACTACCTCAGAAACACTAGTTGAAAACACTGCAGCTATTTCCTGGCTTGAATCTGGGAATGTACGAAAAATTAGATTGACTCTTCATCAGTTAGGTTTAGTTTGCTCTAGGCAAATATTCTAGCCCTTCTTTGAAGAAACATTGTAAATAGAAATGTTCTGCAAAGATCTGAGGTCCCAGTGTTAGCAAGGATGACAACATGGGAAACCAGCCCCTAGGTGAAGACTAAGTCTCAAATGCCACAACATGGCAATGGGACCACGTAGCTCCTAAGCGCACAGCACAGTGAGACGTCTTTCCAGAGGAAAAAAAAGGAGTTCCTGGTTTGCTAGGGGAGACACAAGGTACAGATCTAGCATGAAAAAGAAGAGTTAATTATACACCTTTTTAGAATCACTGTATCCAGGCGAAAACTGCTGAGAGTCTATCGTATTTGAATAACCAAGCAGATGCCTGGGAAAAGCCAGAATTCAGAGCTACCCAAACAGTACTGAACTGGTGACAAACAAGATAGGAAAAGAACTCAAGAGCATGCAAAACCATTAACTTGAATTAAATTGTTTCCATAATAGTACCCAGTTGAGTTTCATTTTAGTGCCTATTACACTTATCAAAACTAAATAAAAAGCACCTTAAAATGACTTCTATATATGATCAATATACATCATTATATTATTTATATAAAAATGCAATATGCACACAAATTACGCTTCAAAGAATCTAAGACCTTTTTCTTTATAATCTTCATAATCATTAGAGCTATATTCTCAAAATCTTGGGGAAGGGTTAATAGTAATTCGGCATATTTCAATGACAGCTGACTCAATTCAGGGGCTGACACTCTCAGAATTCTGAAATAAGTAACAAATACTGAGAAGTTACCTCTTTGAGGGGTGGAAGGGACCTCTAAAAGCCTTATTGCTAAGAGACTACTTTCAAAAATCTATGACTACTGATAGATGATGGTAATTGCAGTGATTTCTGTCAAAGATGGCCCAGAGAAATGGGGGTATAATACTTGCTGGCCAAAGGCTTCTGTTCTATTGGGAATAACTTGGGAATTAAAAAGGGATCAAATGAGGGAAAGGTAGGTCCTCTTCTGATGGAGGGGTATGTGTATATACAGGTGTGCATGATGACTTTGCTATAAATGCACAGTCCCAGGAAGAAAAAATGGATACAGCAATTTTTTCTACATCTGGAATTGCTTCAGGAGCCTTTTTAAATATATCAGAAAGAACAATAAGAAAACAAAAGATTTCGAAGTAGAAGTGCCACACACATATCTTATATCCTACCCTGGAACCAAGAGACTCCAGAAGGGTGGACAGTATTCAGGAGCATACAGCTGGTTTGCAAGATCTGCAGACAGGTGCCTCTTATAACCTCACAACAAAGAATGTTCACTGGCAAATCTTTGGTCTATACTCTACACTAATATTAAGTGGAAGAGCACATTCTCTCTGCAAAGACCCACAAGCAACACCTCTGTATATTCTCCCCTCATGTTCAAGTTAATGTCTCTGGACATAACCGGGAGCTAAGTATGTGAAGATGTAAGCAAGGCCTGCTGGGATCCTCACTGGCTTATCTGACTTTCTTCCCCTGCAGGTCTGGAAAGAGATGCTGCATTTTGCCTGCTACCAAGGATCATGTCTAGAGGCTACTGCTGGGGCCAAAAAGTTCAGCAAGGTTCATACGGTGACAGTCACATGTAGCCACAATTCAACTCCCTTTATTAGAAGTATAATACTCACTCCATATCACAAATGTATAAAAATATGGCAGATAGTGTCATAATGATACTTTCTTTAAATGAATGTATTTATAAAACAGACAAATATTTACCATATATATTTATATATAGAATAAAATACTCCTGATGCAATATATAAATGTTACTGTTTAGTTTTTATAGAAACTACTGTAGCTGTCCCACTGCTTCACAATGTTTCAAACAGCTTAAAATAACTTTACATTATAACATAAAAGGTATGATTATAACAGTACAATATTAATTATAAATAAATGTTATAAATCCTATCAAATGTGGAAGCTTAGAAAACAATTTAAGACATACAGTTCATCTGCTAACCCTTAAAGGGATACTCTTAGATTACAATAAACCCCACATTTAGTCTAGGCAGAAAAAAAATGTGGTAAGGGCATCGGTCAACACGAATTTTTCTATCCCCTGCAGTGCCAGGACATGTTCCAGCTTTCCCAAGTTCAACAGAGATTGCACTAAAGCTGGAATGTAAAGGGGAGAAACTGGCAATAATTTCTTCTTCCTCAGTGGCACACTTTACCAATTCCTCACATAAGTCCTGTGGGGAGTGGTGATCCCTAAGGAACTTCTGTGGCTCTAAGATCCCTGACTTGCATTTGTGGCTGTGAGGAGCTGTATGGCTCCACACATACAATATTGCACACACCTTCATAAAGCTGAAAATACTGGCTTACCACCCTGGCCCAGCCCATTCCCCAGCCCACCCTACACCCTCCCCTCCCAACAGGCTTGCCCCTCCTCCCCCTACCCCAGCACACATTACAAGGCTGTCTCTTTTAAATCGTTCAGATTTGGCATTCGTGAGCGATTTGTTCTGTTATAAGGGTGCCCATTTGGCCCACTCTTGGCACCCAGCTGTTCAGAGTAGGAAGGCCCCTCTGTGGCACTCCTGGTCACAGAGGACACATGCCAACCAGGATCCATCTGACCTGGCAGCTGGAGGGCTGGCCTGCCCTTTGGTGTGGGCTCCTGCCGGATGTTGCTGCTCCCACCAGAGGCCTGGCTCAGGGGATGAATCCGAATTTCTGCGAAGGAATTTTTGGTCTGTTGAGCTGTTAAGGGCTGGAATCGGGGATCAGAGGAACCCGGGTGATTTGAGGATGAAGAGAGATGTAACAGCTTGCGTAGTGATTTTAACGGTTGGCTCTGAAAGAAAAGATGAGAATGTAGGACTTAAGAGTATACCAGGGATATGGAAGAACATGAAGCTCAGATGTGAGATGATGGGACATAGGCCAATCATGTTGTTGGAAGACCTAATTCAGCTCTCTTTTCTAGGTTTCTTCAAATGAGATTTCAGTCACTGTTCTTTCATGCGAAAGCCTAAACCTAGAGAAGATAGCTAGAGCTGATAGGGTATGCTCAAAGCTTCTTTGATCTGGCTGCATCCTATCTTTACCATGGTTCTCATGCTTCAACCCCAGGAAAGAGAAGGAACAAAAAAGGGATATGTCTCTTCCTTCTTTAGAAGGCTTCTCAAAAGCCCCACATAAACTAAGGCACACAACCATATCTAGCTCTAAGAGAAGCTAAAAAAAATGTAATGTTTTAGTTAGGTAGCAATGCACTGAGCTACTAAATTGTATAGCTCTTTTTGTTACCTCTCTGGCTTATGTTTTTTTCTTTCTTTCTTTTTCCCTGTGGTTCTGGGGATTGAACCCAGGACATTGCAATGGTAGGCAATCCTCTACCAGTGAGCTATATCTCAAGCTCTCTTTTTCTTGATATTGCAAAATCTTAATGTTCCCTGCTCTAGTTTTACTTTTTGTTTTTACTTTTCTTCAGGGAGGGAAGGGTAAGTAAGGTCTGGGCATAGAGAAATAAGCAAAACTCCTACAGAATGTATAGGTGATTCATTCAAGGAAACCTTTAATTCCTTATACAGGCTCACAGTAGCCCTACCTGCCTGCATGTCTGTCCATGAAATGACTTCTGGCCAAAGACTTTACCGGGTACTGCACTATGGAGGGATGCTGGCGTTAAGCAGAGGGCAGGGTACAGGATGGGCTCTGCCCTTCACTGGCTAATGATTCTCCAGCAACTCTGTTTTTAAATTCATTTATTCACATGTGCATACATTGTATGGGTCATTTCTCCCCCTTGGCCCCACCCCTCTACACTCTCCCCCCCACCCCTCCTCACTTCCAGGCAGAATTTGTTCTGCCCTTATCTCTAATTTTGTTGAAGAGAAGACATAAGCATAATAAGAAAGATAAAGTGTTTTTGCTAGTTGAGTTAAGGATAGCTATACAGAGAGATTCCTAGCATTGCTTCCATGTACAAATGTGTTACAACCCAAGGTCATTCATCTCTAACTGACCTTTACACTCATTCCTGATCCCCTTCTCATGTTGACCTATGTCGCTTTAAGGTTTCTGTATTAGTTCCTCTGGGGTGAGACATCAAATGCTTTCATGTTTTGGATTTTCTACCTATCCCCATACCTCCCGTATGTGCTCTCCCCTTGTCATGTGACCCAAGTCCAACAACATTGTCTCTAGCAACTCTTTAGCCTCAGGTTCCTTGATGGTAACTGGCAGTTCACTCTCTTCTTCCCCCCCTACTGTGGAATGCATGAGCATTGCTATCAGAAGAGGCATGGGAAGCTGGGCATGGTGGCACATGCTTGTAATCTCAGCTAATCAGAAGGCTGAGGTAGAAGGGTCATAAGTTTGAAGCCAACATGGGCAACTTAGCAACATCCTGTCTCAAAGTGAAAAAGGGCTGGGAATACTGCTCAGTGGTAGAGTGCTTGCTAATCTTACGAATCCCAGGATTTAATCCCTAGCACTGCTTGAGAGAGAGAGAGAAACAGAGACAGAGAGACATAGACAAAGACAGACAGACAGACATAGGAAGCACTTGGAAATACACAATCACTATTGCCAGACTCTGGCACTCAAGCAACAACCTTAGCTTTGGAGCACCTCTGGCTGCTAATCTTCAGAGCACCTTTACTCTGAATGTCACTGTAGAAGCGACATGCATTTTAGGTTTCAGCCAAGTTTGAATATGCTGATCTCTAGGAACACTACAGGATTTGAAGGCACAGGGCAATGAAAACCAAAGTAAATGACTCAAGAATCAGTTCCATGAGAAATTGCTTCTAAGGATGTATCCCCCATCACCATTCTAAAGTCTTTCTAAGAAAGCAGTGGAGGTAAAGAAACTGTCAAAATATCCCTATTTGCAGACGACATGATCCTATACCTTAAAGACCCAAAAAACTCTACTCAGAAGCTTCTAGACATCATCAATAGCTATAGCAAGGTAGCAGGATATAAAATCAACATAGAAAAATCATTAGCATTTCTATACACTAACAATGAGCAAACGGAAAAAGAATGTATGAAAACAATTCCATTTACAATAGCCTCAAACAAAATCAAATACCTAGGTGTAAACCTAACAAAAGATGTGAAAGACCTCTACAAGGAAAACTATACACTTCTGAAGAAAGAGATTGAGGAAGACTATAGAAAGTGGAGAGATCTCCCATGCTCATGGATTGGTAGAATCAACATAGTAAAAATGTCGATACTCCCAAAAGTAATCTACATGTTTAATGCAATTCCCATCAAAATTCCAATGACATTCATTAAAGAGATTGAAAAATCTACTGTAAATTATATGGAAACACAAGAGGCCACGAATAGCCAAGGCAATACTCAGTCAAAAGAACAATGCAGGAGGTATCACAATACCTGACTTCAAACTATATTACAAAGCAATAACAATAAAAACAGCATGGTACTGGCACAAAAACAGACATGAAGACCAGTGGAACAGAATAGAGGACCCAGATATGAAGCCACACAACTATAACCAACTTATCTTTGACAAAGGTGCTAAAAATATACGATGGAGAAAGACAGCTTCTTCAACAAAAACTGCTGGGAAAACTGGTTAGCAGTCTGCAAAAAACTGAAACTAGATCCATGTATCTCACCCTATACCAAGATTAACTCAAAATGGATCAAGAATCTTAATATCAGACCACAACCTCTAAAGTGATACAGGAAAGAGTAGGAAATACTCTGGAGTTAGTAGGTATAGGTAAGAACTTTCTCAATGAAACCCCAGCAGCACAGCAACTAAGAGATAGCATAGATAAATGGGACCTCATAAAACTAAAAAGCTTCTGTTCATCAAAAGAAATGGTCTCTAAACTGAAGAGAACACCCACAGAGTGGGAGAAAATATTTGCCAACTATACATCAGACAAAGGACTGATAACCAGAATATATAGGGAACTTAAAAAACTAAATTCTCCCAAAACTAATGAACCAATAAAGAAATGGGCAAGTGAACTAAACAGAACTTTCTCAAAAGAAATTCAAATGGCCAAAAACACATGAAAAAATGCTCACCATCTCTAGCAATAAAGGAAATGCAAATTAAAACCACACTAAGATTCCACCTCACCCCTGTTAGAATAGCCATCATCAGCAACACCACCAACAACAGGTGTTGGCGAGGATGCGGGGAAAAAGGAACCCTCTTACACTGTTGGTGGGAATGTAAACTAGTACAACCACTCTGGAAAAAAATTTGGAGGCTACTTAAAAAGCTAGACAATGATCTACCATTTGATCCAGCAATACCACTCTTGGGGATATACCCAAAAGAATGTGACACAGGTTACTCCAGAGGCACCTGCACACCCATGTTTATTGCGGCACTATTCACAATAGCCAAGTTATGGAAACAGCCAAGATGCCCCACCACTGACGAATGGATTAAGAAAATGTGGTATCTATACACAATGGAATTTTATGCAGCCATGAAGAAGAACGAAATGTTATCATTCGCTGGTAAATGGATGGAATTGGAGAACATCATTCTGAGTGAGGTTAGCCTGGCCCAAAAGACCAAAAATCGTATATTCTCCCTCATATGCGGACATTAGATCAAAGGCAAACACAACAAGGGATTTGGACTTTGATCACATGATAAAAGCAAGAGCACACAAGGGAGGGGTGAGGATAGGTAAGACACCTAAAAAATTAGCTAGCATTTGTTGCCCTTAATGCAGAGAAACTAAAGCAGATACCTTAAAAGCAACTCAGGCCAATAGGAAAAGGAGACCAGGAACTAGAGTAAAGGTGAGATCAAAAAGAATTAACCTAGAAGGTAATACACATGCACAGGAAATTAATGTGAGTCAACTCCCTGTATAGCTATCCTTATCTCAACCAGCAAAAACCCTTGTTCCTTCCTATTATGGCTTATACTCTCTCTTCAACAAAACTAGAGATAAGGGCAAAATAGTTTCTGCTGGGTATTGAGGGGGTGGGGGGAGAGGGAGGGAGCAGAGTGGGTGGTAAGGGAGGGGGTGGGGGCAGGGGGGAGAAATGACCCAAGCCTTGTATGCACATATGAATAATAAAATAAAAAAAAAGAATGCTGTGGGGTCCCCCACAGGAGGTAGCATGGTATCCTGCACACTGTATATACTCAAAAGTATTTTGTTTTTCACTGAATTGGTATGACAATACAATGAAACTCCTGGTGATTTTTAAAGCCCTGATCACATGAAACTATCGAGCAACTACAATGATCTAAAATAATCTGGAGATGTGAAGTTATTTGTAAGAGCTTTTTGGTAAAAGAAATGGTTTCAACAAAGAGTTTGTAAGCATGAGGCTCTTCCTCAGAGCCTTGTGTTCTTAGTTTGGATATATATCCAATAAGCTTAGATATGTACATCTCTATGTATCTTCCCACAGCATATATTATGATAGAGTAGAAATATAAATGATTGGGCAAAGAGAATGGCAATTTGGGGAACTTGTGTCCACAGCTCTAAATAAAAGTTTACTTAAAGAGAGTAAATACAAAACCTATAAAAAGTCAAGCCTCCACTTCCAAATTCCAGAAATCTGTGATATGATTAATACAAACATGGTAGACTATGTCATTATGCTTATTGTGGGATACTGAAAAGATATAATATTGAAATATTTCCAATTAAAATAGTTGTTTAAAGAAGATAAACTTCAGTTACTTGAGAACTTACTGATTCAATTTCTGCTTATTCCCCCATTATAGCAGATAAGTGTGGTTACAATACTGTCTGATATGTGGTTCCTAAATTCAATTGTTTGCCTGTTTTCTATTAAAAATAGTATGGATTTAAAAAGTTGAAATATTTTTTCAAGGCAGTTTATCCAATCTGTCTTTCAAGGGCCAATTCATATGCTACAACCTTTAAGCAAACCTTCATCTCTCCTCATCCTCTCCAACAGTTTATGGCATATCTCACTTTTTATCAATATCTTTTTACTAAGATATTTATGGGTCTTCGTTCTCTCCTGGGCTGTAGAGTATTTGTGGGCTGGGACTATTTCTTCTTCATCTCTATAACCTCTCTGCCCCCTCCCTAGTTAGGAGAAGGCTAATGGAGGCTTCCTTTTTTCCCACTGGGAATCAAGATCTGTCCTGACTCTCAAGAAGCACTTGGCTATTAGTGAGGATCTATTTGGGGGAGGCTCTTGTTGTAACATTGAGAGGCTAAGTTTTCTTCCCCATGCTTTCCCCCAAGGAGTTGCCACAGTCAAAAAGTCTGTAAGTGGTACAGGCTCCACTCACATGCATCTGTGGATCTGAGAGTTTCTCAGAGGGGCGCCACTCCTTTGGCCTGCTGATTGAAGTGCTAGCAGAGTGAAGGGCTTTCTGTAAGGTCAGCAGATCAGGGCCATCAGAATTGGGCACCTGGAGTAAAAGATAGACAAGGATTCAATAAGCATATCAATAAGGCTAATTAAGATATGCAACCACACCCAAGAGGAGAATCAAACAAAAACTCAAAAAACAAAACAACAACAACAAAAAAACCCAATAAAGAACGAAACCAAAACTCTCCCAATGTTCATAATGTAAGTGATGCTAGTTAAATTCTTTTGCCCTTGTAATAATTTTCCCTGCATTAGGAAAAATTGGCAGATGTCATGCAGCTTGGTTAAAACCTCAACCCTTAAAGCATTCCCATGCTGTTAGTTTCAGTAGCTGTAAGAGAGAGCAGTTAAATTGGGCTGTATCAGGAACTGCTGTCGTATCCTCATTCCATATTGCTGTTAGGTTATGAACCAGTTCAATAAAACAAAAAAAATTTCCTGCTGGGAAAATGATCCAAACACTGTATTTGGTAGTGCCAAAGAAGTCTAATTGGCTTTCAAGGATAGCAAAGTGGGAAAGTATATTTGAATCATATTCCCAAATCACTGCCCAGTAAATCTGGCTCTAGCATTATATACTAGGAAACTGCTAGAAATTTATGCCACAAATTTCAAGTGAATTCAATAGGTCTATTCACCGATTTGGGTGAGCAAAAGAAAGTTATGTGTAATGCAGAGCAAAAACCATGGCTTTAAACTAAGTGACCAGCAAAAGCTAGAGCAAGATGAAGGTCTAGCAAGTCACCAACTAGTAGTTGTTTTTTTACATGGAGCCTGCTAGCTCACTTAATTTGGTCAATTCAAACTTGGTTTCAAAGAAACAAATTGCCAACCAAATGTTAACAATGATCCAAAAGTAAAAACATTTGTTAACTGTAAATGTTAAATTGAATTTTTTATAGGAAAAAAGAGATTTTTATGAATACTGTCTCCCAATAATTGACAAATCAGACAATCCAAACTAGCCCTTCACTTGTTTGTTTTACACTTGAATAACCTTAATTGATTCAGAAAATCCATATTGGCAAAGAATTTATATCTCAGTAAATTTATGGAACTGGCTCAGGTACTTAACTAGCATAAAGAGAATATGACCCCATGAAAATAAAACATGCTGTTGTCATCAGTAAAACAAGTTTACTGGAGCAGTTTTCAGGGCTACCATACGTAAAAATGGGTACCATGGGTGGAGTGACTACAGGAAGCTTTTTCAAAGAAGAACTATGCTTTAAATGATTCTTTGAATTAAAAAGAGGAAAGAGGGATTTCTTGATGCTTGGATTCTCCCCGCTGGTGGAATCTGTCTGTAATATAAGATACAAATAAACTAATTGCAAAAAAAAAGGTTCTTTAATTGAAACTACTAGCCCTCGGCAGCCCTCTAATTATTAAATATTAACCATCATGGAAAGAATCTGTGTGCTGTGTGTCTATAGAAGTTCTATGTCATTTATCACCTGGACATGAAGAGATTAATAAGGTCAAGATAAGCACAAACTTCTAAGTATATAACATGTGGTTATGATCAGTAACTACAGGAGGAATGCCTAGATACCTACAAACATCTACTCACATTAAGCTTATGAAACATTTAAGAAGCTGTTTATTATCATAAATATGACTATTATGAAGAATTATGTTTAGTGAGCTATTGATAAAGTTCAATAATTTCCTAATTGCTAGAGAGGACTTCAGCAACTAAAAGAATCTACCATATGATTTGTCTATTAGGAAAGAAAAGATACCATAAATTCTTTTGAATTTAGTCAGGTCTTGAGCCAGAAATAAAACTTGGAAGAGGTCTATCACTGTTGTAGGACACTAATGTCACTCATTCTATAGTTAGAAATATGTACTTGACTGAAAGTAGTCTGATTTTCAAGCAAATAAAAAATTCAATCTTCAGCCTTTAAACTGAAGCATCACTGCAAGTTGAGATACTAAGTATGATACAATTACCAAGTTGGCAAAGTCACCATATGCTCTGAGCACTTATGTAACTCCCTAGATTTATAACTGAAGCCAGATTCCCAATGCAGCTTCCAGATTGAGTTAAAATAGGCACCTTTACAATAAAGAATAATTTTTGGCACCTCTTTTAGCTATCTCAATTGTCAGAGAACTAGAGTGTGTATAATGGTATTCACAGCATCTTTTATGGGTATGTGTAAGAAGACATTTCTGTAAAATACCACATGAATTGTCCTATTCTAATGATGAAACCAGGCAGGAGTTTAACTTACATTGCTAAGGAGGCTAGAAAGGAGTTCTCAGAGATCTTCCACACAGTAACTGAGTTTTAGTCCTCCCAATTAACTGTGTGACTTTGAGCAGGTCACAACTTGCCTAGGCTCAATTCCTATAGTAGCAAACTAGATTCAGGATTCACTTCAGCTTCCAAATGAACCACTTCTCAGCTCTGTGCCAGTGGCTTACACCTGTAATCCTAGCTACTTGAGAGGATGCGATCATTAGGATCATGGTTCAAGGTCAGTCCTGGCAAAAAAACACTTTATAAGACCCTATCTTAACAGAAAAAAGCTGGGTGAGGAGACGTACACCTATCATCCCAATTTAGGCAGGAAGCCTAAAATACGAGGATCTTGGCCTGAGCAAAAAGCAAGACCCTATCTCCAAAATAACCAGAGCAAAAAGAGGTGGGCATGTGGCTCAAGTAGTAGAATGCCTGCCTCAAGGGGCAAAGATTCAAGTTCAAAGTATCACCAAAAAACAAAACAAAAAAAAAACACTCCTACTTCTCTATGTGTACTGGGTTTCAATTTCTTTTATGCAAAAGCTACAATGCCTTAAATCTTTCAAAGTTCGGTTCATTTAGTTTCCTTTTGCTGAGTATTAGAAAGTGAAAACAAATTAGCTTTAATTATGTGTGAATGCTCACTCCAAGAAGGCAAAGTTAACCCAATGCCAGGCCAAAGAACCTGGGGTCTGGCAGGCTATACATAGTACTCTTTGGAAGTCTAACTCTATATTCTAAAGCCCTTGAATTTTTTCTTTTAATTAAAAAATAAAGAGGAAGACTTAAGGCATTATGTACTATGGAAAGATATCTTGCAGTTAGTTCAAATATCTAATAAAAAGTAATTTTAACCAGAGAGAATGTTAGAAAACAGTAATTTTCTATTTATATTCTATAACATTTAAATACCTAAAATTTGAACCAGTCCTCACTAATAAAGTCAGCCAAGGTATATATACTTTACTCAGTCACAGGGAGGGAAAGGCTTTACATTTAATGTCGGTCTAAGGCAGACAGACCTTAAAATCTAAGTTTATACACAAAATGACTCCAATTACTTGATATGTAAATATTTTCTACCATCAATCACCTCACAGCAGCTACAGGCCTGTGGTTAAGAACAAAAACCCCAAAATAAAAGTAACAATGGTCAGGAAGAGGTAGCCCAAATTAAATGTTCTTGATAGATAATATGGTCTATAGACAATAGTAAAAGTTTTACTTCTTTTACTACTTGAAATATTTTAAGCATCCCTAGACTATGTCAGATCTATTTGCTTATCTAGTTTCAATAACAAATGGAGTAATATTTGACTGAGTGGCATTTTATTTGACATTCCATGTTAGGTGAGCTTCATTCAGAGATAGGTAGGTTTCCCCCATCCAATGAACATTTCAGGAATATTACTCGGTCATTAAAATAAAGACAATAAAGTTTTTGTAGTAACATACATAGTGGGTGTGTGTGTGTGAAGAAACAGACATTCTGTTAAAAGCCAGAATATAAAATTGCACTGGAATGATTACTATTTCAAACAAACTTCACACACACACGCACACACAGAAACATCACCTTTCTTCCACAAACATATGTATAGGCTAAAAAGTTATGAGGAAACATATTTATAGTACGGTAGAAAGATTAAGAATGATTTTTTCTATTTCAGAACTTTTCTGCAGTGAGGTCATGTATTTTATAATAAGATATATAAATTAAACAAGCAAGTGAAAGAATGGTCTAGAAAGGTCTAGATCTAGAGAGGTCTTTTTAAACACTTGTTGAAGTAAGACAAAATGAAACAAAAATCCTTATTTCGGGTTATATACTTTGCTATTTTCATCTATCTCATCTTAACTTACCACAGAGTTACAATCTTAGAATTTTCCTGATGGAAAGGGCCTCAGAAGCATTGAGTCTAATCTACTCATCTTGCATATGAACTCAATGAAGAGGTAGTTTTTTCTCTTCAAATAGATGAAGGATTAATTATGTATGAAGTAAAATTAGAAACAAAACCATTGAAAATGACTAACTCATATCATCTAGTTATGAAGCACAGGGGGAAGCAGGCCTCATTTGGGTGAAGAACTGCTCCTGCTGCTGTGGTAGTTCAGTGAAGTGATGTGCTCAATCCTGTGGAGCCAGCCTTTTGTTCTGGCGAAGGGTTCCGAAGCTAAGGTGCAGTCTGTCTCACAGTGCAATCGCAATGGAAACATATTTTTCTACTAAAGCAAGCCCTGAAATGTCAGGTGTGATCTTCTCACTATGACTATACGGCCAGGAGACATATTTGTCAGCATGAGGATTGTACAACCAGCCAAAGAAGGATAAAGAACTAAGGGCTATTTATGAATTTCAAAATTTAAATGTAAACCAAAACCATTTCCTAAGTTTTCTCATATCTTTATGCCCCCAGTGACAAATGTGTCCTGCATCTTCATATTTTTTTTACAGGAATATAAATCCACATGGATAAAAAGTTTATCGAGAGAGGCTTAAACTGTTCTCTCTCATGCAAATTAAATGTCTTCTACTTCTGGAGCTTCTTCTGAATCTAGAACAGGCTCTGTGAGAGGACAGTTGTATAGAATTTCAGAGACATTCATAGCATATGCATGTTAAGTTTCGGTAAGAAATTAACTGACTGTTACATACATAGTTAAAATGAAGAATAATGCAGAAACCTATGCCATGATATATAGAAATTGGCTATCTACTTACTGTTTGAGATTTCTTCTTTTTCTTTTTCATAGACCTGAAAAAACCTTGCTTCTCCTTTTCTTTGAGTTGATCGGAATGACTAATATTTTCAGGACTTTTCCTAAATGAGAAGACATTTTTATCTTATTGATTTTTCTAATCATCCTCTTGGCATAGTGTGACAAACACAATGAAGACTGAAAATGCATGACACCAGGTTCAGACAACCATGAAGAATCTAGCACATAGGTAAAGGTCCTCTAAAAAGCACAGGAGGAACTGAATCTAATCAGCATGATTAATGACTATCCTTCAGCACAGGTTCACTCACTAGCAATTTCAGCACTATTACAAATGATCTGTAACTGTGCTGCAGGACCAATTTCATGCTGTTGAAAGCCTCAGAACTAGAGATTCTGAAAAGTATGTGGCTTAGAGAATGCCTTTTCTATAACCCTCCAAGAAAAAGACCAGAGACATTTTCAATACCTTCATTTTTCTATTTACCTTTTTAAAATCAGCTTAGCAAGTTTATTATTATAAACTTGCCAAGATATTGAACATAAAAATGCTACATTATCAAGTAAAAACTGAGTGAAATTGGAAAATTCCTATTTACCATACCATTTACCTATTATTAAAACTAAATAAAAATCCTTAAGGAAAAAATGTAGACAAGATGAATGCTTTAATACAAAGTGCTCATGAAAAAAAATAACTGAAAATATTGGTATTTTCAGTATGGTATTAAGCTTAATACCATATATACCACCAGGTATTTTATTAAAATAGAAGATATTAAAAGACAGGAAACAAACCCTTGGCCTCAACAAGATGACTATACTTGTATGCTAAAAGACAACCTATATTATTTACCTTATTATACTCTTTAAAGAGCAACTCAGGCCATGTGCAGTGGCTTGTTCCTGTAATCCCAGCTACTCAGGGGGTGGAGACTAGAGGATCATGGTTCAAGGACATGATAAAAAGTTAGTGAGGAACTCTCCCCCAATCTTAAAAAAAAAAAAAGCTGAGTGTGATGACATGCATCTGTTATCCCAGCTACGTGGGAGGCATAAATAGGAGTATTATGGTGAAGGCCTGCCTGGGCAAAAATTTGAGACCCTATTCAGAAAAAAAGTAGTAAAAAGGGCTGGGGGGTATGGCTCAGGTGGGAGAGTACCTGCTAGGTCCTAATATCACACACACAAAAAAGCAACTCAAATGGTGTTATTCTTGAAAAACTCATATTCCATGGATTTTATTTTAATTTACTTATTTTTTTTTTTTTGGTGGTACTGGGGTTTGAACTCAGAGCTTCACGCTTGCTAGGCAGACACTTTGCCATTTCAGTCACTCTGCCAGCTTTGATTTTATTTTTAAGTTTCAATATGTATATGGCTGCAGAAAGTCATTTTCCTAAATGATTGGATTTCTTCTATAAGCTATTCCCTAGAAGCAAGAGTGGCAGAATCATTAAAAGTGACAGAGTTGATTTATGTTCATGGTTTTAGAACACCTAACAGTGATGAAGTGATTGGAACACCTAAGAAAATGAGTGAAGTAGCAGCCTACCTTTATTTCACTAAAATGTATAAAGGTAAAAGACATCTAAATAAAGTATTACTAATTTGGATGACAGAAAACACCATGAAGCTATTAAATCATATCTTCAAACAATGTCCACTAATATGAAGGCATATTTAAACTACAATATTAAGTAAAAATAGTAAGATTCAAAACTTTCTACAATGGTCAAGTCCTATATACAGATTCACTCTTTAAAAGGCAGGAGGAAATTAAAAAAAATTTTAATCAGCCAGGCATGGTGGTACATGCCTATAGTTCCAGCTACTCAGGAGACTGAGGCAGGAGGATCACTTGAGCTCATGAGAGCTCAAGAGCCTGGACCACATAGTGAGACCCTATTTCAACTCCTCCCCAAATCCCCCACCAAACCAAAAACTTATAGCTATCATATCTAGGTAGAATTATTGATGAATAGTTTCTTCTTTTTAATTTCTAATAACTTGTACTATAGATATAACAAAGGCTTTATAAGCCATGCAAAATTTATTTTAAAAAACAAAAACTGAAAATCAAAGACAACAAGGAGGGAGGGAGGAGGGGAAGTAAAACCCACGACTGTTGAAAGCCTAATGAGCATTTCTTAAGTGTTTAGCCTAAAATTTTACAGACAGGGAAGTAAAAACCTGTACCAGGGCCCAGGTGTTCCTGAAACTCATTAGGACTTGAGATCTTAAACATCACTGACAGAGTTCCCAGTTCTTAAGTTAAAGTTTTATAGTTTAACAAAGTTATAACATAATCAGTGTTGGAACTCAGAACAATGTATTTATAATTCTGAAAGCTAGAAAACTTCAGATATGCTGGAATAGGCATGAATGGGATGATGGAAAATTTAAGATTCTGCAGATGAAGTATTGTACTGTTGGGGAAAACAATCTCCTGGTGAATGATCTTAGTGAACTGGCATTAAGGTAGAAGTGTTAGCACTGGCAGAGAGGAAAGGGAGGCTGTAGGAGGAAGTAGGACTTTACCTGAAAAGGCCAGAGTCTATCCAGGATAAAGCAGAGAATGAGATGAAAGTGAGAGGTTGGAGGAGGGGAGAATTTAAGAGGAGGAGGAGGGGCGAGATAGAAAAGCAGATCAGAATTTTCAGTTTGGTGTTGCAGAGTTGGGCCTCCCCAAAATAGGGAAGATAAATCAAAGATACTCTGGAGGGTCTTCATAGGCACTGGATAAACTACAGGCCAGGTGGGGCAGAAGGAATGAGGAAAACATTTTCAAACTGAAGGTGAGCAGGTGCTGGGGCTCAGATCTAGGCAGGGAAAGATCTAAGGGCCAAAAAGGAAATAAATTACTCTTGAACAGATAAAAGCTAGAAGTGAAGTGTGAGTATGCTTACATCACAAAAAACAGAAGAAATGAAGTCCAAGAGAAGAAAGGGAGAAACAAAGAGAAGAAAATAAACAAAAACAGGTAAGAAACTACTCAGAAACATACACAGAGAACCAGAAGGAAGAAAAGCCTAAGAGAGACAGAGAGCAGCCACCTGGAACACAGGCACTTGAAAAGCTGTACAGTATACAAAGGAATGAAAGAGGAGCCTTGAACATGGACAAGAAGCACTGAGCCAAAGGAGCAAGAGTGTGATTGCTTATGTCTCTCATCTGGCATTGTGGACCCCGGGATTTCACCTGGTACAGTCAGCAGCTTTCTGCTGCTTGGGTAAAAGGGAGTAGCATAGAAGGGGAACTGGGGGCTCCCAAAATCTCAGTGAGGAAAACATTGAGAAGGACCATCCATCCAGTCACCTGGCACATTATCTGGAACAGTAGCTCTGATCAAAACAGTATGGGTGTGTGGGAGGTGGAGGGAGAGGGAGATATATACAGAGAGACACATGCACACACCAAAGGATAAACAGGTACTTTCCTGCACAGTCAAATGGCTCCAATGTATATAATCCAAGAGCTTTTTCATAAAAGGATCTAGCAGAAAGAGGGAATTCCAAAGATTCACCAAAATCAAGGAAGGAATTAAAACTGAAACAGATTTAAAGTCAACTAAGATTTAATGAATACTTGATATATGCCAGGTTCTGTATTAGGTGTAAGATATACAGAGACAAATCAAACAAGAAGCCTGATCTCACTCAAGCTGCTTCCAAACTTATAGGGGACACAGATGGGGATCAGGCAGCAGGGTCAGCCTTTTGGGCTTTAGTATATCCTTCTAGAAGCAGCATGGGATGTGAGTTTAAGAGGTGAGGGGCATTACCCTGTGCCACTTTCCCTACCACATCCAGGCTCCTGGTGGTGGGCCTAGAGTGGTCAGCTAATGTGTTCTCATAAGAAAGTCAGTGAATGATTCTACAGGAGTAATTCAGCAAGACAGGGTTACATGCTATATGTAATTGATACAATACATTCATAACTTTATAAGAAGAAAAAGACTAAGATTATACAAGTGGGTCACACAATTTTTCACTTATCTGAACTAGTGGGATTTCAAATTAATTTAGTTTACTGATTGTCATTTTTAATCCAATTTTGATGGTACTCTTTCAAAAATATATTTCTATACTTTTTTCTTTTTAAGCAAAGAAAATGTCATCTATTTTATAAATATACATATTAAATGTGTATCTATTATATGAATGAAGTTCCCACTGGGGCCTGTGAAAAGACAGAAAAACATCCATTTTTCTCCATAGCTATTGCTCACAATCCTTCTCCCTGTGCACACTGTGTGGTTACCCAGGACTATTTCTTATCCTGATAACCTCAGTGCCAACTGCTAGAACTGGGCATAAAAGAGGAATAAACTGGCCCTGAGTGAGGGTAGAGGTGTCATTCTATTAGTAAAGATAATGAATCTGGCTGCATTATTTGTTTTGTTCTGAGATAGTTTGGCTTATCTCCCAGTTCTTAAGTGGACTTGAGACAGCTGAGTTGGCCAAAATAACAGCTCTGGGTATTAAGCTATAATATCCATTTATTGTTTTAAAATATGACATAGTAGCTTGGTTTTTCCATTACAGGAAATGTGTACACTGCACAACTGTTCTCTTCCTAAAAGAAAATTATAGTACTATAAGGAGAAACAGATTGCCCTTAGGTTATATGACATTTAGGAACAGTATTTCACCATGTCATGTTTTCCTAACAAGTCTCTTTTATGTTTTGTGCATTTCTCTCAAATATAAAGAATATGGTAAAACAAATAGAGATCTTGTTTAAGAAAAAAATCATGAGTCAAGTTTAATTAATGATTGTATCAAGTTAGATGTGAGGCATGAAGGAGACTGTGTCATAGAATCATTATCAGGAGGGGTGGGGAGCAAAAAAGAAAGAGCCAAGTCATCACTGGCAATTCTGGAACCTTGTCAAACCTCATAATAGCAATATTAGAGCAAGGGTGACTTGAAGATTTGGCTAAAGTTCAATGTCCCAATTGTGCCTCTGATTCTTTTTAAAACAACTGATTTCCTCTTTCTACACATATTCATGTCTAAAGTTCTACTCAAACAGATTATCAAAAAGACAGAAAGAAGGAGCTATAGTTATTAGCATATGTCAGGCCATGGGTTCAATTCCTAGCACCAAACCAAACTGAGCCTCTAAATAACAACAACAAAAGACCAAAACAATACTTTATTAATACTAGCTATCCTGCATTTGGATTTTTTGTTGGATTATTTGAGACAGAGTCTTGCTATGTACCCCATGCTGGTCTCAATGTTCCTGCCTCATCCTTTTGAATACTGGGATTATAAGTATGTACCACCATATCCACCCCCTCTACATTTGCATTTAATTTTGATCTGAACTACCTAATTTTCATAGGACTGTGGTAATCCATAATTGATATTCTTTTAAATCATCACCACTTCATCATGCAAGAACCAAGAGAAAATAAATTCCTTCCATACTTCTATATTATTACATTTTAGACACTATTCTCAGGGCTTGTCAAAGCCACACCTGAAAATAAACAACACTGGCAACTAAAAGAAGCTGTACTTGTGGTCTCAGATTGATACATAGATCTTTTCTAAACACTAGGAAGCAACAACCAGTCATGAGGCACAAGGCATGAAATTTTATCAGGCAAAGTTAGATGGAAGAGAAACATCTAACAAGTCATAGTGAGGTTAAATGACATTAAGGATAATGACCATAATCACTAACATTAACAAGACCTTATAGTGCCAGATACTCTTCTAAGGTGTTTTTATATATGACTCATTTAAATACCACATGAACTCTATGAGTGACATTACTAGTCCTCCCCCCATACTCCACAGTGCTGGGGATGGAAACCAGGGCTTTGTTGCATGCTGAGCATGTACTCTTCTGTTGAGCTATATTTGAGCTTGGGAAGTGCTATTTTTAGCTCTATTTTAGAAATGAGGAAAACAAGGCACATGTGAAATTACATAGAAGTTGACATCAGTCAAGATATACTATTTTGAGTCTAAACTCTCAGTCACTAATGTTAATAAAAACTGTGATTATACAGAAAAAGGATATTTACAGTTTTAAAATAGTAATTTTTATTATTACTTTAAGAATAATTAAGCAATTTTCACCATTAGGGCACAATAACACTGAAACCTTGGAGTGGGAGTATGGCTCAAGTGGTGGAGTACCTGCCTAGCTAGTGTGAGATCAAGTTCAAACCTCTGTACTGCCACCCCTCAAAAAAATCCCACTGAAACCTTGCTATAATCTTGCTAATATGGCCCAAGTTATGAAGTCATACGAAGTTAGCAGCACTTACACACAGCCTTTGCCAGACTGGTCTTAGACTAAATTTGATGTACGATAACAATGTCCTATTCCACTCTCTTAGCGGGGAACTTAATAAAATTCTATGAAATATACATAAATACTTTTCACATCTAGATTCTGAGCAGACTTTCTGGGCAGCTGGGAATAGTATACGTTATTATTATTTTTTAAAATCCTTATTCCTCAGACATATGCTAATGGAATTTGATATACATCGTCATTTTCTCCCTAAATTTTTGTTACACATGAAACAAAAAACAAAAGGATAAGAAATCTTGCCATATCATTTGAACCTCTGACTACCCTTATGCATAAAGAACTGTTTCCTTATTTACGTCTTTTTACTGTGAATGAAAGCGAAGTGGTATACAAGTGAAAACCACAAGCTTTGAAGTCAAACCCATTTATGTCTGAATCATAGTCCCCTCCTCCATGTTACCAACTATCTAGTATCAGGCAGTTTTTAAGCTTCAGTGTTTATAAAATGGGAGTAACCTTACTTTAAAGCACAATTGGGAGAACTGAGACAATACACATGAAGGGCTAAGCAAAGTGTGAGTACCCAGTTCAATGTCAATAAAAGGAGACCGCCAAAGTCATCATTCATGTCATGAAGAATGCAATGAAAGACTTACCAGGTATTTATTGATCTGGGAGAGTTTTCTCTTTTACATGATATTTAATATAGATATTGAACTTGAAAAACATTTACAAATAACGACCAATCATGTTTTCTTTATCAAACAATTGAGAGAGAAAGGCCTAGTAGGGGAAATGATGCTAAAAAGTTATCCACGATTTCTTTGAATTCCCAAATCTACAATTAGAAAAAAGAAGCATGAAAACGAACCAAAACACTCACCATGGATCAAATCCTGGTTGTCTTTTTGAGTGATTGGTTCCAGAACTGCTCTCAGACGGTAGAGAAGAAACTCTAGTTGACACATTATTTTCATGGAAAGAATTATCTGGTCGTGGAGATGGCACTGAATGAAGAAAAAGTAAGTTATTGATGTACACTATTGGTCAAAGTAGTTTTCCAATTATTCTATCACATTTTCTTGGACATAAAAATAAAACAAACAGATCAGTAAAAATGCTCATTTGCCTCTCACATAACTTTCATGTTTTCTGAGGGTGGAGGCATTCCAAGGAACAATCTCTCTCCCCCACTGCCTACATTATTAACCTGCAAGGGTCAGTAAATACCAGGTAGTATTTAAAAACAGTACTAGGTTTGAGCACAGGGACATCTCTACTGCTTGAACCACACTCCAGCCCTTTTTGCTTTAGGTTATTTTACAGTACTCTGCACCTGTTTTAAACACTACCTAGTATTTACTGACCCTTGCAGGTTAATAATGTAGGCATTGGGGGAGAGAGATTGTTCCTTGGAATGCCTCCACCCTCAGAAAACATGAAAGTTAAGTGAGAGGCAAATGAGCATTTTTACTGATGTTTGTTTTATTTATGTCCAAGAAAATGTGATAGAATAATTGGAAAACTACTTTGACCAAGAGTATACTGTAGAATATATTTTAAAGCATTAATATCAAAACCCTCCCCCCACTGTTTTAACACTCTGAATTTAAGGCTTTCTTATAGATCTAACTATGCAAAACTCTATTCTTCGTCTGAAATAATTGTTAACAATATGCACGTTGGAATGTATAAATTGCACTCTAAGTGTTAACACTTGGAAGTCGTGTATTAACATGTCACTCATGTATTTTGTTGCTGCTGTTGTTTGGCAGTACTAGGTTTGAGCACAGGGACTTCTCTACTGCTTGAATCACACCTCCAGCCCTTTTTGCTTTAGGTTATTTTTCAGACTTTTTTGCCTAGGGTTAGCCCCATACCCCATACTGCAATCCTTCCACCTACAGCTTCCCATTCCCAGGTACCTGGGGTAGTGCCACCATTCCTGGTTTATTTTGTTGAGCTAGGGTCTTGCTAACTTTTTATCCTGACTGCCTCGAATTGCATTCCTCCCAATCTCCACCTCCCAAGTAGTTGGAATTATAGGTACGAGCCACTGTGTCCAGCCCCTCACTCATGTATATTTAAGCTCAATTACAAAGAAATTTGGTTATTTGCACAAAAATATTAATTTTCTAGCTTCTCAGCAGAGGGAGAGAAATGTGTTTCAGGCCATTAGAAAACTCAGCCTGACTGGGCCCCAGAACATGAGGAGTAGCTGGAATAGACAGTAAGGGCCAGACCGTTGGTAGTCTGGAATATCATCTTAGGAAATTCAGATTTTTCACTGATCTCAATGAAAAGCCACCAAAGGCCTCTCAATAAGTAAGAACTAGGATATTGGAGTGGGATGGCAGGGGGCAAGGAGTTGTCTTGCTCTATTTTTTCTCTGTAGCACTATGACCTTTGGCTGCCCTATAAAATTATTACATTTATTGACAATCTCTCTCTCCATCCTGAGAAAGTGAGCTCCATGAAGGTGGAGATCTTTACATGTCTTATTCATTGGTATGCTCTAAGCTGAATCACTGCCAGGGCACACAAGTGACATCAGTAAGAATTTTATGATTTAATCCATGAGTGAATGGTATGGTCACAAAGCTTCAGCACGATCATTCGTGCTGAAATAGGGACTATTTTGATGGATACTTTGGGAGAGTGGTTAGGAAGCTACCCAAAGAGCCCAGGTAGAAGCCAGGAGGTCCTGGTGGGACCAGAGGCAGAGAGAAGTTAGAAGGTAACAAGGCAACAAAGAACGCTATGGGTATGAAGTCAGTCGTGACAGTGAAAATGGAGTGGAGGGCATGGGCTGAAGATATCTGCAGTAGAGAGGAGAGTAGGACCCTGGTGAATTCTGGCGTAGCTTACCTCTGTAAAAGCTACCAACTCTCCTTGGGACAGGATCATTGTACAGATGTCTGTTTTCTTTGGGGGTTGTGCCATCATCAGAGTGTGGGTCATGATATACTCCACCCTGAGGCAGGAGACAAGTTTTTAAAAGTTAAGCCATAAATTGATGACAGCATTGCCCACAAAGTCTGACCAGTACCTAATCAATCTACAATTTACTCAGTAATCTTTTAAAAAGAAAACTCAGGATTATGCCATGAGGAAAACTACTTACTTTACTAGACAGTTCAATTTATTTGTGGGAGATTAGGCATGAGCAAAGTTTAAAAGCTAGACTGTAATCATGTTGAGTAAACAATCCTTACAGACCAATACATAGTAAGATGTAGCAACTCTGAAGAATTCAAACCTCAGACTTCTGGCGAGTGTGGAATGAAGAGGTGCCTTCTCTGGAGGACTCTTTACCAGAAGGTCTTGCCACGGTCATCTCTGGAGGGAGCTGTTCTCCAGGCTAGAAGTTAAATTCAAAAGAATTTATAAAAGCATTCGAACAGGTTTATCTTAACCAGCTAATATAAAAAAGTTAGTTGACTAAAATATAACTTGTCCCATAAAAGAGTGAATTATCTGATGAATGTAAAATAAATCAAATTTCAACAGATGGAAAGTGAAATTCTCATTAAAGTTAAGGCAAGTAAGGAATAAAATAGTCTGAAAATAGTTTAATTATCAAAAACAAAAAAACTTTCTAAAACAAAAAATTAAAAACAAAAAAATTAAAAAAAATATCTAGACAGTCGTGATTCTGAGCAGCACTCTGGTTAGAGATGGATTCTATTATTAATGTCAATCCAAAAGTCCATTAGCATACTTTAGGCTGAGTTCTCCAAAAAGAACCATGCAGAAGCAAAACTATTTTTCAGGAAATCTTTTTTGTCAGATTCAGATGAAAATAAATGTTTCTTGAATGCATCAAGGAATATACTATATCTTCTTAATAATTTGTTTCAAAATTCCTAACTCCTACAGTCTGTGTGGTACCACTAGCTCTCTCAAGGAAGTGAATCACAACCTCAGCAGTCTACAATGGTGCCCAAGGGAGTAAATATGTTGTATATTTTATCCTTGGAAAAAAGATTAAAAAACACAATTACTAAGTCATTAGGAGGAGTTAGTTGTATCGAGTATCTGTACATTACATACTATCTCAAGCCTAGGTGGTATAAAAAACATTTCATTTAAAATTTAAAATATGATTTGGTCTTTCTGTCCTTACTCCCCAATGTATTTGGAGAATTCTGGGTGGGAATTCATCCAGTGAAGCCTTTATCCTTTCTATTTTTTGACATGATCTCACTTGATTTTTACCACCCATATTACTGACAAAGTCCTCTAGAAAAGACTTTTAGGAAACAAATTACTTATGTCTAACCTAAGCTCAGTAAGAGTCCATGTGCTTTTCAAGTTGGCAACAATAACCTGCATGAGAATAAGTTCCATGATTCACTCACAGCTCTTATTTTCCAAGCCCTTGGCTACTTTGATGCCTTTAAACATGACCTTTGCATAGCTTAGCACTGAACCTGTTGACCTGGACTTCAGTAACCATTGGAGCTGGTTCACAAAAATCCTTTTTCTAAATTCTCAGATCCAGTCATTTCTCCTTTTTCTAAGTGAAACTGCCTCTTGTTTTCCTTCTCTGTTTGACACTGTGCTTAATGGCGGCACACTTTACCTGGTTTTGACCTACACATCTCCTGTCTATGAGCAGCTGCCAGGCCTTAGAGAGCTTTCTAGGCTCTTGAGGGTCTTTGCTGTCTACACTGAGTCTTCAGGGCCTCCTCTGACCCTGCCCAGGGCTCCACTTCTGGCCCCTGCAAACGCTCACCTTCTGTCCCCCCTTTTTCTGGATACCAGCCCACCTTTTCAGCTTCTTAGTGCATACTTAAGGACCTGGAGACTGTCCAGATCCACCTTAGACTAGTTGGGTAAACTTGGGCAATGCACCCACCTTCTCTGAGTTTCAACACGTTCATCTGTGAGATGAAAAGGTTGATTTACATAGGTTTAAATATCTACTCTAATACTCAGGAAAGGAGCTCCTAGAAAAGAAACCTTGAAGGCTTCCTTTTTCCTACATTTAATGTGGCACTCGTAAGTTCTGTTGTTTCTACTTCTAAGCAGTCCTGAGATCCACCCTGTTTTCCTACTGACACTTAATATCAGACATACTCACCTCACCTCATGTGTGGTGGATTACTATGAAAGTCACTCCAACACTTGCAATTTCCACTCCAGCAATGCCGAGCTAGTTTAATCCCGGAAGCATACCATGCTATGGTTAAGTCTCTATTACCTTCTGTCATCTTGGAATGGTCTTTTCTCTTTTTAAGCCTCTTTCCTCCCCAAGTAAAATCTCAATCCTCTTAGAAGTCCCTGATTAGATGCCACCTCCTGTGGGAGCCTCCCACAATGCCTGGCCTAGACTGCCACACCATTCCCTCTCCCTTTGGCACACATGCACACCTCTGCATGGCTGCAAGAATGTGGCCTCACAGTATCAGAATGACCAATCTGTTGCAAGTGTCCCCTGCCAATTCACACACTCCAAATAGGGACCCTGTTGCTCTCATGTGTCTAAGGTCTCTCATAGTACATAGTTCAGGACATGCCATTCTGTACTTGTCTACATATCCTTGCCCAGTACAGGACCTTTAGCTGCCCCTGATGCCATGTCTGACTGTTTCTGCTCATAGTGATCTCTCCCTGTTCTCAACTATTTATAGCTAGCACCCTCTGAATGTAGGCCTTAATTATTTCAGTGTTATCTTGTATAATCTAATCTTCCCTGAGAGAAACTAAGTTTCTGAAGGAAAAGAACCAACCCAATCTCAGACTCTCTGAAGTGCCTGAGAACACCCAGCAGAGATGGCACTTGCTATTTAATTAATAGTCCTACCATCATAGTAACAGGAAAGACTAAAATCTGCTAGATTCACTGCACCAGGCAGCAGGCACGGTGTTTTACACATGAAACCATGAAAATATGATTTAAATATAGTATTCTATTGTAAGAATGATACTTCTAAGCAAGTTAGTCTCAGTCTAGAGTCTAATGACCAATAAGAAGGAGGAAGCATTATTCTGAAATATTGCCTTAAGATTTAAAAACAACCCAAAAGACTGAACATCAACATTTCATCTCACCTGAAGTCTAATTTATCTATAGTTCTAGATAAATTAAAAACTTTTCAATTTAGTTAAGGCATCGAGGAGGTATTAGCAAAAAGGTTTAAGCAAATTCAGTTTAGAGAGAGTACAGAAAATACTCATGAATTTACACCAAATTTTGAGAAAACTAAAAGGTAATCCATATAACTGGTGAATTCTATAAACCAAAATAGGATTCTCAACAAAATAAACCCCAAAGGAATATTTAAGAAAAGAATTAGAGTACTAAAAACAAACTTAAGTTCCCTTGAGTTTTCAACAGTTGATTTAAACAATTAAATTATTTTTTAACAGAGAATACTCCAAGTATTGCTTCCTCCTATTCACTCTACCAAGACAAGCACAGCCTCCTGTAGGTAGAGAATGTTGCACAGTGACCCCATAAACATCCCGTACCACCTTCCCAAGAAGAACTACTAAATTGAGTCTAGGTGCTAAACTCTACCTGGGGTGATAAGAGCTGTAGGCTGTTGGCTCTGGCTGCCATTCCTTGCCCAATGCTCAAGCTTCCATCCAAGCCTTTGGCTCTCACTTTGTCCCGGGTCACATACATGGAATGCCTGTGAGGACGCTGCTGAGAGGAGAAGGGGCTGGTGTAGCCCAGCCCATAAGAAAAGGATTCATGAGGTGTGGATAGTGAATGGGAATGGCTTCCATCCATGTGCTCCGGCAACTTCAACTCCTCCATGGTTTTCGAGTGTCTGGTTGTGGTTCGGCGTGAGTCCAGAGTGCCCTCATTTCGGGAATTTCTTCCCAAAGGGCTGAGCAAAGTTCTTGCGTCACTGTGCCTGGTGGGGGTTGGGCTGGTGGGAGAGTTTAAGTCCAAGCAACTGGATGGGAAGTACCTACTGGTATTGGTCTCTGGGATTTGGGCCCTGGTTTCAGAAAGGTTGCTCACAGACTTGGAATCACTCAATGCCCCATGGCTTTTGGCCTTGGTCCTGTAGGAAGGACTCCGGGAGGACTGGGGAATGGTGTCGATATAGCTGTGTCGACTCTGCTTCTCACTGGGTTGCAGTGTCCCAGCTTTGCTCTGAGAGCTTTCCATGAATGAGTGCCGGTTCTGCTGTGATCTGCTGCTGGACTTGAGGTACTTAGTGCCTGGGCCTTCTGAAGGTTTTGGGTCAATATTAAACTCAAACTCAGTTTTGGACTTGGCCTCTTTTGGGCTGAGAAGGTGTGGCATGTTGTTGTTAGTGAGATCTTTGCTGGTAGACCCAGGCTGGGTGCTTGCTTGGTAGGTTTTGGTATGCATTGGACTAAGAGTTGCCCCAGCAAGATTTCCATTCAGGAAGCTTTCGTTGGCAGGGAGGCCTTCATCGGCCCGGGGCAGACCCACACTTAGGTTCTGAATATCCTTGCTATTGGATCTGTGGTGAGCCTGTAAAGCAGCACCTTTACTGGCTTGGTTTCTATATTAAAAACAAAAGAACCATATCATTTTCCCTCAATAGCAGGCACATACAAAGTATCACATTAAAAAAAAACTGGGAAGAAAAAACAAGTCCACATGTAAAACATCTCAACATGTGCCTATCAATAACAAGTAACCTGTCAATAAGAAGGAAGTTCCTCAGACTAAGTCATTCAGCAACAAAGCACTGGTCCAGATGAAGTTATTTTGTCATCCTTAAGTATGTGGCTAACTTGTATGATATAGCTATGTTGGAACTTCTGTGAGTGAGTTTAACAGACTATCTGTTAAGAGAGCTGGGCTACAGATTCCTGACAACTCTTGACAAGAATAATGACTTACATAATTCCCTTCTTACTAAACATTCAGAAAATGTAAATATTGCTATGGCTAAAGATGGTTTGATTTGGAAGAGTTTTGTTTCCCATTACACACGAATTGGAAGAAAACTACCCTGATTTTTTCATGAAGAATGGCAACTAAGCCTTCTTGTTTTCCCTGTGAGAACCTGCAAGCTCAGGCATCAAATGTAAGAGCTCTTCTGCTTGAATGTTGGAAGAGAATGCTTAGACTTGAAGGTTACTATTCCTTGAACTTTATTTTTGTTTGTAAAACTAGTAGCCTGCCTCACAGTACACATACACAGACACCAATGTCTCTTTTGTCTTTGGCCTGAATAGTTGAAGAATGAGAATTCTAGAAATGTACTCATTAAAAATGACACTCTAACGCAAAATGTAAACTGCCCAGTGAGGTTTGTTGGAAAACACGATGATCTGTGTTTATGTTTTGAAGAAGTGGCAATTACCTGGGGGCTCTTCAGATCTCTGCTTGTACACTACACAAGAATGTGTAGTTAACTGTTCAGACACCTCTATGCACACTAAAACAGGAATCCTATATTGGATCACAGAGTTTGGAAAGTTATTAACTGCTTGCCAAAAGACACAATTTAGTCTCTTCTTCATTTCACACTTCATTATTTCAAATTGACTGAGGCTTTCTTTAGGACTCGAAACTTCATTTCCTACCTGGTTTAATATACAAACTATAAATCCAGAGGAAAATCTTGTCCTCTATCTGAAAGCTGAAACTGATATAGCAAAGTCAGTTTGTTCTATTGTAACTAGTAAAAATCATGGCTTGGGATAGGTTAGAATGTTTTAAAATGAATAATGATTTACATAATTCCCTTCTTACTATGCATTCAGAAAATGTGGTAAATATTGCTATTACTAAAGATGGTTTGATTTGGAAGAGTTTTATTTCCCATCACACACTAATTAGAAGAGAAACATGTTTTCCTACTGAATAATGGTAACCCATGAAACTATGCCTTTTAATTTTCCCTGTCAGACACATGTACTAAGGTATCAAAATGTGAGAGCCCTTTGCCTAGCATACTTTTCAGATGGTAATCTCTGCCAGAAATCAACCTGAGAGTGTCAAAAAAATCTGGTATTAACCAAGCTAGTAACAATGTAGAAGGCCTTGTCTCCTAAATGCTCTCGCTAATCTTTCCCAGTTAGGTCACAAGAATTGCAGCATTAAATAAGGACAATTAAATTTGAGCTAACTAACTGGCAAATTCCAGACCTAAAGAGAAATTAAAAATAAAGGAATGCTAAATTTCACTTTCTGTTAAATGATGTACTGGATCCATCACCAGATCAATAAAGGATAGTCCCTGTATCCTAACAGCATCAGGTTCTAAACCATTAAGAGATATCTGTCAACTTCTGTCTTCATAACTAAAATATCACACCAACTTTTCGAAGACTTAATAATGATAGGTAGTGCCATCCACAAATAGATCTGACTAAGTGTGTTAGTTATTCTCCATTAGCCCAAATCTTAATCCATTCTCCACTTCTCTGCCCAGTCTTGGGCCTCAGGGAACCAATGCTACAGATTGTGGCCTCTGGCTCCCCAGATGAGTGCCTTCTGGTAGGGTTTAGCAGGAGAAAGCATTGTGGGACAAGAGGAGAAAGAGGCCGGGTGAGGTCTTCCCTGCTTTTTCCTGACACGGACACCCTGACTCTGATCCTAGCTATATCCGTTCGGATGGCAGCTTCCACAGGGGGCTACTCCTGCCCAGTTCCAGCTCTCTCTAAGCTCTTGGAACCCTATTTCCTCCCTATCTCCTTTAGGCTAGAGATAGTAATGGCAGAGAGATAACAATACTGGAAAATGTCTTGAGCTTAAAAGAGGACCAGAACGAGATAGAGAACAATGAAGACAGCTAATAGAGCTTCAGGAATGACTACTATGATTCGATGTGAAGCACAAACCTTTAAATGATCTTACCAATATTCATGGCAATGTAAGATACAATTTCTAACATGAGAAAGGAGGCTATAAAGTTAAGGCAGAAACATTTGTCAAAGTTCTAGGTTTTCCATAAATGTACAAAGAGTCTAAACCATTATTTTGAATATTTCCACCTCAGGATTAACTGGAAGCCACTAAACCTTGTACATATCATAATTCATATATAGGAGGGGCATCACATTATCTTCAATTGGAGTTCCATCAAAGCAAACCACTAAAAAAACAGCTTTGAAAATTCCATAGATCTCTCTGACATACAACTGTAAAGAAGCTGTGTTAAACTGCTAAATCACTTTTGAAGATTTTATATACAAACCACTCTTAAAGGGTTAGAAAGGCTAGAAAGTTGGATAGACAGATGGCCAATGTATTTACTGAAAATACATTTTAAAAGCAAAAATCAGGGGCACAAAGCTATATTTGTAGTGGAAGGTTAGTGAAGCAGGGCCAGTGAGAGAGGCATGTGGGGCAGCTGAACCACCATCACACCATGTCAGAAGTTCCTGAAGGTTACAGGTAGGGGGCTGAGTAATGATTATGGCTGCTGCCTCCTATAGAGAAAAGAATTTGGAAGACAGGTGACAGTTGTGTCTTAGGGACAGGGCAGAGGAGTGTATAAGTGACAACCAATGGATATGGTGCTGTGACCATGTCTAAAATGGTCCTGAGAGGTCGAAGGGAGTCACAGCTGTGTTGAGACACAAGTTACAGTCAGTGCCCATGATAAGAAGGGCTTCCTTGGAGTAAGCACAGACTGTAGGCAAGGATGGGGAGAAAGTACTCAGACACATGTAAAATGAGGTAAGATTACTTAAAGAGAAATTATTTAGGACTTTTTCTTTAAAATGTTCAATACAGTTTAGAGACCTGAAAATGAAATCTTCTAGCGATTTTACTTCAGAAGGGGCTGGAGGACTCCTTGAATGAATCATCTCCTTTGTGCCTCCTGAAAACACTATTACCACACAGCCTCCTTAACAGATTCCTAAACAGGTTTCCCAAGGAGAGCTTCAGGTCCCTACTGGTTAATTCCAAAAACTTTCTCAAGGGAGTCATTACAAGACAAATATACAGGCCCCCTTTTACCCTATGTATTATACCACTAATAACCACAATTACAAATTTATCACCAGTCTATCAACTTTATGTCCTTTTGGAATAATTTTCTTTGTAAATGTAAAATAGAGGAGCCAAGTGACAATCTGGATAGAAGGGAGACAAAAGGACCTGAACTGAGAGTGACCCCAGAGAAAAGACAGGAATAATCAGAACCTGACAAATGCAAAGGAGCAACCAAATAACAATCACTATTCCTTGACTTAGTGTACTAAAATCAAATGGAGGGAGAAATGACCCAAGCCTTGTATGCACATATGAATAATAAAAAAAAAAAAAATAAAATGGAAACAAATGACAAACAAACCAGCTAAGAATGGTGTAAAAGACATGAGGGGAAACAGTAAGTGAAACCAGTCATTTTTAAAGAAGAGTAAACAGCTCTGAAACATGATCAGACTTTCAAAGCTAAGAAGACCTAATATAGGATGAATGGTGATCAATTTTTGGATGCCCTCCCAAACCTAAAAAGTACCAGGTTTTAAACTTTCAAAATTCCAATTTATTAAGAACAATGTTCTATATGGAGAAAAATTAGTGGAAGAAGGGCTTAAATTTTAAAAGTTTCATAATAAGAATCATTGTTTCCTATTTCTCTTCTAATACTTGATGAAAGAAATTTCTTCTTTTTCTCATAACCTAATGATCCCAGATGCTACAACCAGTTTCTGGGAGATGAAGGAAGATAGAGAGGTTGTGCCTAAAACAGCATCTTGCTGCAAATTAAGCCAACAAAATCAGGGAATATCAAATCTGGAAAGACAACCTCACTGGTCCAATCTTGTGTATGTGTGTGCGCATGTGCGTGTGTGTGTTTCAAGAAAAAGGCACCTGCACATCCATGTTTATTGCGGCACTATTCACTATAGCCAAGTTATGGAAACAGCCAAGATGCCCCACCACCGACGAATGGATTAAGAAAATGTGGTATCTATACACAATGGAATTTTATGCAGCCAATGAAAAGAACGAAATGTTATCATTCGCTGGTATGGATGGAACTGAAGAACATCAATTCTGAGTAAGGTTAGCCTGGCCCAAAAGACCAAAATCGTATTTTCTCCCTCATATGTTGGACATTAGATCAGGGCAAACACAACAATGATTGGACTTTGAGCACATGTAAAAGCGAGAGCAACACAAGGGGGGTGAGATAGGTAAGACACCTAAAAATTAGCTAGCATTTGTTGCCCTTAATGCAGAGAAACTAAAGCAGATACCTTAAAAGCAACTCAGGCCAATAGGAAAAGGGGACCAGGAACTAGAGAAAAGGTTTAGATCAAAAGAATTAACCTAGAGGTAACACACACGCACAGGAAATTAATGTGAGTCAACTCACTGTATAGCTATCCTATCTCAACAGCAAAAACCCATTGTTCCTTCCTATTATTCTTATACGTCTCTCTACAACAAAAT